GGATGCGACAAGTTGCTTATCTGCCTAGACTCCCCATCTGAAAGTGGGGTTAATGAGAGCAGAGGATCCGCCTTACAGGACTGCTGGAGGTTTCCATGGGGTCAAGACAGAACACAGTGCCAGCTGGGGGACATTCGGGACATGCCAGCTTCTACTATGACCTCACCAAGGGCTCTTGGGAAAGCAGGTGTGGGCACACTGTAGACACAGGAAAGACCTTTGGGGTCACATCTCCTGATGCCAATGATCATCTGCTTTCTGAACAAGACCCTTCCTTTAGCTTAAGTGCTGAAAGAAGTTTTAAAGTAAATGGCACTATTTTCTGGGGGACACGGGAAGCCTGGCCCGTGGCTCCCGGGCACTCTGCGGTGTTTATCATAGCGCTTCATCTGTGGGTGACCTTGTCTGTTGATGAATCCAATCACTGGCTCCCCCCGCCTCAAGCAAATGACCTGCTCCCCTCCAATCAAAAGGCACCTTTAATCTGATTCCTTTTCACTCAACTCTCCACCATGACCCGCATGTCATTTCATTCCTCCTTTCCTCTCCTGCAAGTAATCAGCCTGGTCCAATTTGCTTGTATAAACAGGAGGCCTAGGTGGGGGGATGTCACTTGGCCACGGCAGTTCTGCTTTTCATACATCCCCCGCCTTGTTTCCTGAGACCTTTCAGGAGAGCCAGACCAGGAGGAGAGTTATATTAAACAGTTGGACCCAAACCTAAACAGCCCCTAAAGCATTAGTGGTTCAAAGATCTCCTGGTGCATTTATGAAAAGCCATTGATCTGCGAAGAGGTGTTAGCGGACTTGAAATGCACTAAGAAAACTCCTTTGCTGGCAGGAGGCAGAGTGGTTTTCATTAAGGATCTGCCCTTTATCTTGTCACATCACTGACCTGCCCAAGCCGGGATGGGTATTTCCCTCGCCTTGAGAGGCGGCTGCCTCTGGTTGGAAGCTATGATAAGCGTTCATTTTTAAGACAAACACAAAGGAAAGAAGTGACTTACTTTTCTGAGTATGAACCCCAAATCACCTTTAAATTCTCCAACTTTTGTGATCACCTCTGATACATAGAAGCCTTGAGAAAACCATGGGTCATTTTCCCAATGTTTCCTTCTTGGGACTTGGGGGAAAAAAATGCAAATCCTGGGACATCAGAACTTCAGGAACTTGAACTATCACCTAGAACAGGGACCCTGGTCTTAATCTAGAGGAATTTACCAGCTTCAGAACAGTGCAGATGGCCTTAAATCCCCTTTCTGCTGCTTCCTACTGGGTGACCTGAGATGCATTCCTTCTGGTCTCTGCCATGATCTTCTCAAGTCAAATCTGGGTCTGATGACCTCAGAGGTTTGTTGCAAGGATTAAATAAAGTAATAGATGTAAAGCGCTTTGCACAGAGCCTGGCATAAAGTTGACATTTGATAAATGCCTGCTATTATTATCGCTTGCTATTACCATACTATTATTTATGCAGTCTAAAAACTGTAAGCAACATTTTGCATGTCATGCACATGTGCATTTTCCTGGGAAGAGGTCTATATATTCAATTTTCACTATCCCCTAAAGGGGAAGAACCACTCATCTAGCTAGACCTTCCCCTTTAATTGATGACTAAAATCATGCCCGGAGGTTTAACGTGTTCTTTGCATAGTCACATGGTAAGACAGATGTGAGACCAGAACTAAAACCCAGAATCTGTTGAGTCACTGTCCGGTGCTTTGCAATGTTCTAGAAGCATTAGCAAAAGTAGCCCAAGCCCTAGCCAGTGTTGCAGAGAAGAAGTAATACATGTGGAACCGGACTGGACATATATTGGTGGGGTTAAGGCAGAGGGTTAAGTTAAGTTCAGGGGTCTGGAGCTGTGATGCCTGAGGAGGTGCCAAAAAATTGGTTGACAACAATAATTGACAGAGAAAAGGTGTGTGAACCAGAGTGAAGGAGGAATGGGTGGGGCCCACCAGCAAGCACCTGCCCCACTCCCAGGCTCCTTTGCACCTCTCATGCATTGCAAGGAATGTTTATCCCACAAGCTTTACAAAATCCAAGGGAATATGCACTTTTTTTTTTTTTTTAAGATTTTTTATTTATTTATTTGACAGACAGAGATCACAAGTAGGCAGAGAGGCAGGCAGAGAGAGAGAGAGGGGGAAGCAGGCTCCCCGAGGAGCAGAGAGCCGGATGCGGGGCTCGATCCCAGGACCCTGGGATCATGACCTGAGCCGAAGGCAGAGGCTTTAACCCACTGAGCCACCCAGGTGCCCCGGGAATATGCACTTTTGACCTAGGAAATGAATCATTCTGAAGTTCTGAGTGGTTGTACCTCTATCTCCCCGAAGATGCAGCCCCAGGATTTTGAGGTTTGCATTCTTTTTTCTTTGACCAGGTTTTTAAAAATACTTTGATTTTCCCAGGGTCAGTGGTTCTCCAAGTGTGTCTTGGAACCGCCCCCATCAGTGTTACTGGGAAACTTGCAGCAAATCCAACTTTGGGGGACCTCCTTAGACCCACTGAGTCAGAGAGTCCTGGGCAGGGCCTAGGAATGTGTTTTTGGAGGGTCTCCAGGTGACTCTGAAGCACACTCAACTCTGAGAACTGTTTATTCTTACGCCACTGGTGTGGAAGAGCCCCAGCAAGGAAGGAGGGCTCAGAATCATCTTCCAGAAATTTGAATCCCTGGAATACATATATATATATATTAATTTTTTTGGTATGAAACAAACTGAAACTAGACTAGTAACCTAGTTCCTCTTGTATTTTGCAAACAAGAGATCTGGAGGGAAGTAGAAAATAAATTTCAAGGCCTTTCATCTCAGTTACAATGACATGTTCATTTAGCATTGTGTGGGGAGAAAGGGAGGGAAGGAAGGAGGGGCAGCTGTTAGGCTTCTAGAAGAGAATACACAATTCCAATGGAATCCGCTGTAATTTAGGGGCAATTAGCGTCTGCACATTCTCCATCCATGAGGCTCCATTAATCCAGTTAATCCTTATCTTCCAATCGAAAACAAACACCCCTGAATGTACTTGGGATCCTTTTAACACCTTCTGCCCACCTGGATGCTGTCCTCCGCTTTGTAATCCAGAGCTTTTAGGAGCCACTTCAGCTCCTGGGAAGGGGGGATGACCCACCATCTTGGCAGGTCCTGCCAGCGCCTTGGAAATAAGCCCTGTCCCAGGCTGCACCCTTGCCCGAAGCATGCGTTCTCTGGTGAGACCTGCCCTCTCCCTGTCATTATTCAAGTCATTTTTGGTACATCCTTGCTATTCTGGGCAGCCTTCCCTGAAACTTCTTGACTTCCTTTTGCCTAAGTAATGCAAACACTCGGATAATACTAATGCCTTGCATTGCTAAGGCAATTTGCTGTTTCCAGAGGCCTTTCTTATTTGTGTCATGAGATCCTCCAAACTACTGTAGTATCATTGCCTTTCTCCACTTCCCTATCCACTCTCATACCCTCTGCAATTTATAGGTGGGGGGCCTTGAGGCTTCCCGGGGTTACATGACCTACCAGATTCCCACAGTTAGTAACTAGATGACAAGGTAGGTTCAAACTCAGGTCTCCTGATTTGCAGGCAAAGATCTTCCTGCTACAGAACACTGTCTCTTTCTGACGACCCACCTAAATCCATAACACTAATGAATAATGCATTTGTTCTTTCCCTGTGTTTATGTCTTTGGGACGCCTTTGTATCTATGAAAATCACCGTGTCTTCCTTCATTTAAAAGCCCTTAAGGAGAAGAAATCATATCAGGCTCAAATAATAATAATGTAAAGTGCTTCTACCTATTCAAAATATTTTCATTTTATCTTATTTTGTCTACGAAACAATTCAATGAGTTAAGTAGGATAAGCAGTATTATACTTATTTTAATGGTAAGGAAACTAAAATTTGGCCAATAAAAGCAACTTACTGGCTCAGAAAGGGAATCAAATACAGATTTCTAACTTCTGGGGCTCTATTTTTCTACAAGATGTGTGGTGTTAACACTGAGTTCTGAGACCTGCAGGGTTCTTATATGCTGCCTCATAACTTCTGGGGGAGCCATGGAAAGGGGGGGCTGGCAGCGCTCTGGGTGTCCTACCCTGGGTTTAACTAGAATGTTCCCTCCCTTAAAAAGCAGCTTGGGAGCCACTGGTCGGTTGTCATTTCCTGTATGGAGTACCCAGCAGGGCAGGATTACTAGTCAGCTATGGACGGTAGCTTCAGGAGAGTACCGCTGCAGTGGCCTTGAGCAGCCTTCACCTTCTTGCAAACACTTCTGACTCCCTGACTTGCTCTCAGTGTAGGAGGTGACAACGGCACCCCTGAGGCTACCCCTCAGCCTTTTCATATTCTGTTCATAAATTCAACAAATACTGGTTAAGCAGTGACTCTGGACTAAGTTCTGTGCTAGGATCTGGAACCAGAATGGTAGGAAACCAACACGGAAGTGACTCTTCCTCTGGCCTCATGGAGCTTCACACTGATAAATAATTCCAAATCACAGTAAGAGCTTTTACGGAAGGATCTGTCTGTTGCATGGAAATAACAAGGGGGCAGGGGAGGGGGAAGGGCAGGGGCAGTGTCCGATCCACTTAGGAAGTCAGGGAATTCCACTCCATGGAGAAACCACTGGCAGGGCAGACAGGGAGAGGGAGAGCGTTCCCATCACATGGAAGAGAACTGTCGAGATACGGAGCAGCAAGAGTGTGGCCTGTTTGAGGGACGCCTGGGAGATGAGCTGGACCAGAGTGCCAAGTGGGGCAGAGCTCAGAATTTCTGCAAAGCAAAATGGACAGCTACCGCTGCAATATAGATAAGGAGTGTCATGATGGATTGGCGTGTTTTCCAAGATGGTTCTGGCTACTGTCCAGACCACAAAAAGGTGGGGTTGGTCAGGACTATAAAGCGAAGAGACATTCGAGGAGCCTCATCAAGGTGGGTTTGTATATAGGTGATGTAACTGCCCCAACTAATTTCTTTTTTTTTTTTTCAATTAATTTCTAATACTGGAAGTAAACCTGGGTCCTCGTAAGTGTGGAGAAAGTGATCCGAAAGGCGATCCACGGTCACGCAGTGAGAGGAGCCCTTGAGAAATTTTATAACTTCATGTGGAAGACTTCAGAAGTGCAAGAAGGGTAAAACACAGAAAGTTCTACTGTAGATTTAGATGACAAGGTTCCCGTCCTGCCCTCCCACAAGTCATCTGTGTAACGTGAGACAGGCCATCTAACTAACCCCTTAGGCCTCGTTTTTCCCAGTTGGACGAGGAGCCCCCAGCCCAATCACAGCAAGTTATAAGGCAACCTGATTACACAATGGAAGTGCCAGTGCCTTGTAAATGGTTAGGCATTCTTAAAATACAGGATGCCATTATCATTAACCATGTCGGTATATACAAAGTAATTATAATTAGAGTTCTGAGTAAATATGGAGTAACATTTTTCTCTCCAATTGCATCCCAAAAGAAAGTTACTAGACACCAAGGAGTTTATGTTCTTAGATGGGCTAGAAGTTTCAGCACAGTCCACCATAAATCTACCTTTATTTTTTTCGACAGATAAAAGTTATAGAACTACTCAATAATTTGATTCTTTAGAGTTACCATATTTACTCAGAATTATGATTGCAATCATATTTGCTTCATACCATATTTCCCAGGCCTTAGTCATTTATGTTCCAAAGTCATACTTTTAAACCCAGGAATGTATAAATATTAACTTGATATTTTATTTAAATTGAATATATATATATGTATATATATATTCCTTTCCACTTTGAGTTTTAATGAATTTGAAGCTAAAGAATATCGCTTTGAAATATTTTTTTCTTAATTCACATGACAACAGTTGGAACACTGTTAACATACGAAGAACTATCTAACAGAATCTCACATAACACCAGCGGTAACCACTCTGCTTGGGAAGTAATAGCTTATCCCGCTCATATTTCAGGAACTTTTTTCAATATCAAAATTAATAGAGCCTTTCCCTAGCCCAGGGATTCTTAACATCAGAATCATCAGGAGAGCTTTTAAAACTCTTGATGCCCAGCTGGACTGCAGATCAATTAAATAAAACTCTCAAGGGCTGAGACCCTTAGTATTGTTCCAAGTTCCCTGGGATGATCCTCATGTGAAGCCAGGTTGAGAAGCACCGACCCAGATTCTTGGGTGCCTTCCAGGACTGCCTGGGCCTGCTAGGATTGGCCAGATATCAAGGACAGACTATATGGGGAGACTGTATGGCAGTAGGGGAGTCGATCGCCGTTTCTGTCTCATTCAGAAAGGAATGGCCATCTGGATAAAAATAACGTATAGCGGTGCTACCACTAACAGGCAGTATGAACTGAGAGCTAACTTTATGTCAGTTACTCCTCCAAGTAGTTTAAAAGACTTATATCATTAGTATTCACAGCAACACTGCAAAGGGGGCTCTGTAACTATCTGTCTCTGAAACAAGACATGTAAAGCCCAGAGAGGTGCAATGCCTGGGCCAAGGTTACACAGTAAGTAGTAAGTGACAGAGCTGGGATGGAGCCTCCTTGAAAGCAACCCCAAGTTCCCATCCTTTCATATGGCTTCCTGCTTAAAACAGGTACCTTAGAGCCTAGAATCCTATTATACAGACCAGAATCTCCTTTCCCTGTGCCTTTTTATTAGACGTCTTTCCCGACCCCTAATTTTGCAGATGAGTACATTTCACTGATGTGACAATGAAGGCCTGCATTGTTTCCTAGGTCATATAACCAACTGCATGTGTGGTCTCGTAAGACTCCTCAGACTTCTCCTGGACATACTTGTTCTCATTTGAGTTGCAACAATAAATGCTTCTGCCTCATAACCATTAATGTTAGAAGAAGAGGCATGGGAGCGTTGGGTCCCCACGGCTCCTTGCCCTGGAGAAAGCTCCCCTGGGGAGGGAAGGACGGTTTCTAGCAGCCCAGAAGTCACTTTTCTCCTTTGTAGGATCCAGTTACACCCAGCAGACTGCAGTCTGAAAAAACAAAACTGGAGGAACACACCTAGGGGATCTCTGAGTCCCGTCTCAGATTTTAGCATCCAGCTACAGGGAGGGGGAGAATAGCCTGTTGTTTTCTAGAAGCACAGATGAAGAAACCACCCTCCAATTATGCAGCAGATTCTGCTTCCCAGTTGAATAAAGGGCATGAAATCGGATGTTCTTCAAGCTCGGAATAAAGCAGTGGAAAATCCACCTCCCTTCACCCTCCATAAAGAACATCTAACACATTGTGTTTAATTTCCGAATAGGGCAATGTTCTTTTTAAGGGAAATGTTAAGCAGGGATTAAAGATACGATGGGCTGTATAACTCTATCCTCAGCCCTTTCATTGGGAATAGTATTTTTTTTTTTTTTTTTTGGCGGTGTCTGTGCAGAGATGTGGGAAAAACCGAAGTCTTATGTAAATGAGAACTGACACACTGATAAACCAAGTGCCAGACCTGAGGTCTTAATTACACAGGAGTCTAGATGTCAGAGTGAATGCAGCTTACTGATGTTCAGAGATTTCACCCAGTATTAAGCTGGATGACCTTCCTCCGGGAGCAGAGAGCAAAGCATGGGTTTCTCGTTACGCAGGGTCCACGTTCACGGGCGGCAAAGGGCTACGTTCACGCCTGGGCGCTTTTCTGGATAGGATACGTCCCTGAGCTCGGACACCCCGGCCTGCTTGGTGTGGCACAAGAAAAGCAAGGTGTTTGCAGGTATTTCCAGCTGTGGGGTAAGCGGCTGCTAATTGACAGAAGTTCTTAAAAGCGAAGGTCTCTAATGGCATCTTTCCCCCCTCCCCTCCCCTCTACATGGCCTTCCCTGCCCATTTGGCATCATTTGTGGCCTCTGCAGCCCTGTCGAGGAATTATCTCACGTCAACACCTAATACTCTGATGAGATCTACGAAAGCATTAGTAGCTAGTTTTTAAGGCTGCAGGTCGATAATTAACAAGCATTTATGTTGCTGAAGATGATACGTGGGAGGTGTCTCTAGCTCACACAAGGCGTTGTCGGCGGACTGGAGTCTAGCGAGGTTTGTACCTCCCGGCCCACAGCTCTTTTCATTAGCTTGACGCTCTGGTCATTATCCTAGTGGGGGTACAGGCTATGTTTTTAAAAAAAGGGGCTCCGGCAGAACCTAACAGTTCTCAGTGGGTGTCAGGGTCTTTGCCTTGAAACAGAAAAATAATACATCCTTTCCTTCCACGCGTACTAATTAAAGTGTCAGGATGGAGCCCCAACACTGATTTGACACATGACATGACGTCCCATATAATCTGACGTGTCTCGCGCTGACATCAAAGCCCCGTCAAGGAAAACGGAGCGGGATATTGAGTGCGGGCCCGTTGCAGTCTGACATCTAACTCCATCCGGCTTCCTTCACAGGCCCTTGCTCGCCAGGAGATTAACCCGTCAGGCCGCCGAGTGAGAAGGGGCAGAGCAGACCCGGACAGGAGGGCTGGGGTGCAGGGGAAATCCAAACACATCCACCTGCTCAGGGAAGACTGTCCAGACACCTCGTCCCCCTGTGGGCATCTGGGGCAAGCGCTGTCGCAGCCACTGTTGTGGCACCTGGTCATTTACGACTGCCTCATGACATTATTCCTCACTGTTGTCTTTGCATTGTTGTTCAACAACTTTCTGTAATTGTCTCTTCTGACCCCAAATAAACCTCAGCACTTGGAAGGCAAGGAGTAGCTCTGGTACGTGTCAGTCCTAGCAAACGTCTCCTGTGATTCCACGAAGGGCTAGCAGGCTCTTTCTGTTTTTGTGTTAATTTTCCATCTTTCATGCACCAGTCCTTTTGTAGACTACAACAAAAATGAAGTATTACAAGAACGAACACGGTTATGGCTGTCTTAGCAGTGTCAGACTACGATGTGTCTAAATGGTTACTCTCAGTTTCTGCACTTATCTGCTCCAGGCCAGGAACACACAATTTGCTAACTGCCGCAAAGCCGTGGGCCACACTTTGAGGAGCACTAAACCAGAACACGGGGATGCCCGAAACAGTATGGGACATAAGGGAGCTCCTTGATATGTAACTGTTGATTGAATAGATATGTAATGTAGAGATAATGTATAGATAATGTATAGTTAACATCAAATGTATAGATAACATCAAATATAGCTATATGCACATCTAATTAAATTATACTTTACATGGTACATCAATTAGAAGATAGGATTACAAAATGGACACCTATGCCTAGGAGGCACAGGTGCGTATTAGCTAGCAAGTTGGCACCAAGACCCGTTCAATGAAAAGGCACACGTGGAAAGGGAGTTAGGACTGAGCTGTGCCTACCCAGTGCTCTGTGTGCCATCTTGGTGGGTCATACTCCTATTTTACCCAACGGGCAGTGAAGCTCACAGAGGGCAAGTGATCCACAGCTATTTAGTGACAAGAATAGGATTCAAATGCAGCTCTGACTCCACACTGCCCTTGTTCCTCCAGTGCACCATGTGAACTGGGTGACGTCATGGTGGCTATGTCTTACTCACAGGATGGGTGTGTTTCCACCACCACTTCCAAGCAAAGATGGCTGTAAAATCATCATCAGTGGACTGGCCGAGGTAGGTTTCATGTGAGAGCAATTCTACTAATGAGCTTCTACGATGTTTACTCCTTAAGAGTAATGCCTAGAGAAGAGACGACAACTTGGATTTGGTGGAAATTCAAGCATCAGGATGTGATAGCTGGGATGTCCTACAGCCATCTAAGTCCCAGTTAGAGAATGGTGTCAACACACTGGGGGAGGCAGAGCACCAAGAGAGCCATGGAGAAGCAGGACAGGAGCTCTAATATCCTGCATCTCAGGTATCCCCTACCTAAAGACTTCTATCGTGTGAAGTAAAGGTTTTTCCTGCTATCCAAAAGTAGAGGATTCCTATGAAGCTTTTTGTAAGCTGAAGTGGCATGAAGCAAAGAAGCAGTCACCATTTTGTAAAAGCAAAAATCCTCTTTGGATTTCCTGCAGTTAGCAAAAACAGGTACTAAGGTGGGCCTTTCATAAAAATGGTGGGCATCGAGCGAACTTTCAGAGAGCAGGGAGGCCTGTACACCTTATGAAAACTGATTTGAGTGGAGATTTTTTTGTTACTTGCATCCAATGACACCCTGCCTCATATAACCTCTTCCTCTAATAGGACACTGTCCCCTTTCATTAAAGCCAATGTTTTATTCATAATGTCGGACCAAAATGAAGGAGACGATCATCTAATGTATGGCAGCAACACACATTTTTCAAATCATCCTTTGAAATGAAATTTAGATGTCTTGAAGGGACCCTAAGAGTTGAACTTGGAAAAAGAAAAGAAAAACAAACAAACAAACAAATGAATGAATACCCACAGTACACAATATAATTCCTACTCACTATATGGGGGGTTTAGTTCAACTTTCAGGACACAGTACCCCAAGGCATGTGCAATCACAGCCCGTCAACTCTGTTTAGGAATTCCCCTGCTGCTCCTCGCGTGTTTACACAACTTTAATACTTTTCTATATTGGCTCAGTAAAGCATTTTTCTATTGAGATGGCATTGTTCATCTGTATTTATCCCACAGTGAGGAGCCTGAGCTATCTTAACAGTCCATTTCGGTAACTGTAAAGCTGATAAATTGTGTATAAACAGCTCAAATATTTCTCAGAAAATAAAACTGGAAAGGAGAGGATTTTGCTTCAACCATCGAAGACAGTCTTGCATATTTAGAGATTAAGGCTGAGGTGTGGGTTTCTTCTTTCAGCTAAATCCACATCCCCCCTGCCCTTGACAACTTAATTTCCTGTCCTCTTTGGGAGACAGACGGATGAATATTTAGTGTAGAACATGATTGTGATTAAGCTTCCAAATGTATCTTCATCTGGATTCCAGCTGGTGTGGCATCTCAATTACTCCTCTATCCCCCTACGGAACCGTCTTATTGATGTAGTAAGCTTTGCATGATGGCACTAGATTAAAAATCTCCCAGGACTCTCCAAAACTTCTGACCTCAATCAATTATCCCTTAATAAAGGGGGAAAAAAAAGAGGTCTTGTGCATACATTATGACCTGAAGAATCCCACCAGTAGGCATCCTACCACTGCTGCTTAGCTACTACCATCAGAGAACAGAAATCTTTCTTACAGCCTGCTCCTTTCTCCTACTCCCCACCTCCTACTCCCCAGCAATGATGATGCATTAAGTGAGGCTCCGAAACTGATGGAGCTGGTGAGTAATAGGTGTACTGTCGATACAACATGCAGAAGGCTGAGAAACATTCAGCCGCCCATAATTTCCTTACTGGCCCCAACATTCCATATCTGTCACTCTTCTCGTGATTCCTGGTACCATGATGCCCAAACTAAATTACAGAAGTACAGTACCGTTCTCCAAATCAATTCTAAATACCTTGGGTATGCACATACTGTTTTTCAGGATCATTTCTTTGGAGAACCCCCAACTAATTTACACGGCTCTTTCGTTCATGAACAACTTTATTCATTCACCCAACATGTACTGAGCTGTGTGTAGGCTGTGTGCTAAGCACTGGGCATGGATCTGCAAACAAGACAGACACAGAACAAGTTCCTTGTTCTCGGGGAACATAGTATAGTGGGGGTGCCAGACATGCACATGGCTAATAACAACTGAATGTGAACAGTGCTGGAAGGAGCCAAGTCCCAGATACTGTGGGGCATCTACCTCAAACACAGGAGGATGTGCAGGGAAGATTTTGGAGAGCTTCCCTTCACTCCCAATCCATTACATCTGCAGTGGCCTCAGCACTTAGATTAAGTTTTCTGAACTATAGAACAACCATGGGCCTGCCCTCCCTCCCTCCCTTCCTTTGTACCTTCCTTCCTATAAAAGTAAATGTCAGGCACGCTTCAATTCTTGTGCTTACAAGCTAGTGAAATATGACATATTTATAAAATGTTGGGAAAGGCAGGCAAAAAGATAGTTCCTGTTTTTTTCATGCCATGAATATATATTACTTGATAAATGGCTATGGATGATTAAATGCTACACCCGATGTTGCAGACAGTATGGTTCCTATAGGACTTCAGAGAGTGGGGCCAATCTGTGTGGAGTACAGTATTTGGAAAATACTTCCCAAAATGAGGAGGCTGAGTTTGCTAAGATAGGGTAACGGTGAAGTAAGTACTTTCTATTTCCACTAGACAAGACCCTCATTTCCAGCAACCAGACTTCTGAGGATAGAATCTCTTAGGAACCCAAGTGAGCTGGTAGAGAGCCTTAAGAATCCTTCTTGGAATGAAAAGGAAAAAATAAGCAATGGATCTCATTCCTCATTCAAATCTTACAGTTCTAAAGAAGGCACTTCTCTCCAAGAGGGTAGCTTGCCTCCCCGACTTGCCTTCTGGATTCAGTGGCTGTGTGTACATTGCTGGTCCATGACATATGCAAGTAAAATGGAAGATGGTAGAAGAATATTTGGAAGCAAAGTGAGATAGGGCTTATTGGAGAATTTTCAAGCTCTCTAGAATCCCTCATTCAGTGATCAAAGAGAAAATAGAGCTCCCCAAAACCTTTATATGGAGATGCTTAAAACAAATCACCCTTAAAAAAAAAAAAAAGAAAAAAAGCTTACACATTAAAAAACAAAAACAACAACAACAAAAAACCCCAAACAAACCCAGAAACTAGGAGAAGCTGGAATAGTAGCCTAAAGCACTATGAACTCATGGAAAATTAATTCAGTCCTCTAAGTCAGCACCAGTAAGGACTGCTCTACATAACAAAAAGTTCTCAGTCGCATTATTAAAACACTGCTTTGGAGTGACCCATTAATTTCAAAGGCGCCAGTCTCTGTGTTAGAAGTTATCAAAGACAGATGTGTTAAAGGGTCCTCTCTATCAAATCCGGTGCCCATCTGCTCTCCCAGGGTTATAATTGAGACCCTTATTATGGTTTGAGCACTTTGCTTTCATTTTAACCAAAACATCTTTGTGAGATTTCTCTTAAAATCCCAATGGAGAACAAGATTAGCAAAATTGGTTTTTTTTCCTCCCGGGAGCTGGTACCTCCTTCAGTCTATAGACCCTGGGCTCTCACACACAGTCTGCTCATATCAAGGTTGGTGGGGGTGTGGGGGAGGTTGTGTTTGTTTGCCTCACCAGCATTTGCCAACATGAGAATCAAACCGTGGTATTTTTCAGAAACAGGAGATGGGGCCTTAAGATTCTGGATAGGTGTGTCCTGTTTCAAGAAATCCTAGTATTAAAAAATAAAATGTATCTCAACCAAATAAAACTCGAAGCGATTCATCCATTTACAAAAAAGGGTTCCTGAAAAATCAGTTTCCTAATCTAGTTAATAGGTTTCATTATCCACACACACACACACACACACACACACAAAAAGTGTTTACTTGCACCATTTCTGGAATACACCAATTATTTAAATGTACTACTACTAATGGTTTCCCTTTATTGAATGCCTGCTATTTATGTGACTGTCCCTGTGCTGACACTTTACATAAGTTATCTCATTTACTTTTCAAAACAGCCCTGAAATCTATATACCAGAATCTCATCTCATATTGAGAAAAGTGACTTGCCCAAGGTCATCTAGCCAGAGCAGAGCTGGAATTCAAACTTAAGTCTGTTTTGCTTTGCATTTCACTCTTCTGGTCTTGTTAGAAATCCAACTGAATAAAAACCTCATTAATATGGGCTGGTTGAGACACATGGCCAT